CTCTCTCTCTCTCTCTCTCAATCTCTCGTTCTGTCATCCCTCCCCAGCTTTCCTTACTGTCCCTTCCCTTCGCCTCTCCCTGGCTATGGTTTTGGTTATCCTGCTTCTCTGTAAAGGCGCCAAGCCGTTACTTTATCTCTATTCCCGACATGCGTTGTCCGCGTACCTCTCTGCACTGCACTGGAAAAAGTGACAACGTTACATGTGTCACGTCATGTGATGCACTCTCTTTCCTCAGAAAACGTCTTTTGCCAGAATGCATTTGCCTTCCACGTAAGACAATAGGAACTGCAACAGGCCGAGTGCATCACAGATGCCTTATTCTGCGAAAGGAGTGAATGACGAAACGTAACGCATGTCACACTGTAAAAAAGGGAAATAGTCTTTTACGAGTCACATTTCAAACAATCGTGCGCTGTTCTAAAAGAACGTTTTTGAACACTTTCGTTTGAGGTTTAAAAGATGTTGTCCTAATAATAAAAGTTTAGGTAGGGCAAGTCTAAAAATCAGTGCTAACCCCCAGAAAAGAGCAACATAAGCAGCAAACACGAGAACGTTTAACTCTGTAGATCCCTTAAAATCTTATATATTTTTATTTTTATTTATTTCTTTTTTTTTGGGGGGGGGGGTATTTTGAAACTGTAATTGTATATTTGTTTTTTTGTTCGTAAAAACCAATTTTCGGTCTGGAACAAATGGAAGTTTGACAGTGTGCTCATTGGTTTTTTCGGTGTATCAACGAATTAACGGGACGAGGTGGGGTGCACCCAGGAGGGGAGAGACAGAGAAAAGAGAGGGATGCGAGAGGGGGAAGGCAGAGTGAGAGAGAGAGAAAGGACAGAGAGGGGAGTGGAAGGAGAAAGGGAGAAACTGCATGACTAACGCTGCGCTGGCGCTAGACTTTCTATTCGCAACATTAGGTGCACACACCGGCAGAAACCACACACTAGGCCTAAAGGCACCAGAGGTCTCTCGAGGCCTACGTTTTTAAAGTGAAGTGACCCGACGTCATGGGTGTTTTTCTTTCATTCGAATAAACGAAGCACCAATAGCTCGAATTATAATTGATAGATCGACTTTGCTTAGCTTTGCTTTCAAAGTGCCCAAATTTAAACGAATTGCAATATCGATCCAAAAGCAAACTCTAATTTGTGAATATAAAATGTTCAAGATATTTTTCAGCGATGCCCCCCACAGTGCTTTGGCTTACGAAAGCCAACCACTGTCCTTCAAACCTCTGAGGGGTGGCGGGTCGCTGCCTCAGTCAGCTGCGTTAGGGCATACTCATAGAGCATAATACAGTACGAAAATACGTAATATGAACGCAAAGTTTACAGCAGGCAAAACAGTCTTTATGTTCCTTTCGTGCACTCAGCCGAATGTGTGATAAAACTTTCTTGACTGTTGTACCAAGTTGGCGTTACAGAGAATGAGCCACTGAGGCACGGGCGAGCTTTCGGGAGCGCGTCGCGAGTCGCGGTGAGCGCGGAGAGCGGGCCGCTGGTGCGCTCTGGGCCGCGCGCCGCGCACCACCCCTCCGTCCCGTCCCAGGGGAGGTGAAAGGGAAAAGCCTGGTGAGGGGAGGGGGTTGGTTGAGGGGAGGGG